CTCACTGCTCTCATTTAAGACTCAGTCTGATCCAAAGGCAATTCTGAGCTTGTTGTGTTTGTTGTACGCTTAGCCTTGGTTGTTTGCTCATTTACGAATAGAAGGGTATTTAAGATTATGTGGTAATATTTGAACCGTTGCGCAATGATTTCGGAGAATGAGAATGATGCGGTGCTGCCGAATGGTAGTGATAATCGAGTTGGAGCGTCTACCCGAGAGCAATTAGATGCCCAGATCTTCGCTGAATCTTCAGAAGTTTTCCGCAGCTCAGCAGTGGAAGCGTTAACGAAATGTTGCCCAAAGTATGACCTATCCTCAACATACGAGTGAGTTTTGAACGTTTCCATTATCCCAGACTTCGATCGTTTCATTCGTGTTTCTAATCAGTGTGATGGTTTCAGTGATTTTGATCTGTAATCGAAGCTCACTTTTCCTTAATACTTAATGAAAACTAATTCTTAATTGAGCAGTTGTTAATAATAAACAATGTAATTGCTTTCTGAATTCAATAGGACTTATTTTGGAGAGAATTTTGTTCATTGTGTTATTGAGTAGTATGATATTTTATCGCGTATGCCAGAGATTCTAATCAGTGATCATATTTGTTATTGGTTTTGAGGATGGAATGTTAGCTATAAGTAGAGGGTGATATCTATTTAATCTGAACATGTATTCTGAGCAGTTTCATTTAATATGATTGTGATTATAATTAAGGTTGCCTGAGCCAGATTCTGATGTCACCTCTTTATTCAAGGATTTAATCAACGAACTGCCAAGCACCTATGATTTGAAAGCAGTGTTGAATGATGAGACCGGTCAGGTGGAGAGCTTTGAGGAAGTTTGGAATAGTGAAGTAACGCAGATTGGTAATGCAAAGACATCATTATCACTGAATAGGTAAGTTGTAACAACACGTTAATTGTAACATTACAAGCATAATAATTCGAATAAAACCACAAAAATTTCAGACTTCCAGATCCAAATGCGCATGCGAATGTGATCGGTATATCGGGTAATTTACCATTCATGCCGGGTAAGTGTTTTGTTCTCAGCTAATAATATCTTCCCAAAGACATTGGAAAATTTGAATGTTTCAGTTTTTCAGTTGAAACGTAATTTGTTTGAAAAGAGATGATTTCGCGAGAAATATTTCATGTTCTGATCATGATATTCTTCTATCAATAGTCGACTCAAATTATGTTTCAGGAGGGTTTGAGGAGGAGATAGATAACGTGTTGCGTCTGAATGATATTCCTACTGTTACAATTGATGATCAGATCAAAGGTATCCATCAGACAGGTATGGTTTAGTTCATTTCTTGATCTGAACTCAATAAGGGCACTAACTGGAAGTCTTACGATCAGTCAGCACAAAGTTATGCATAAGATAAAGACAGTGGCAATGACTGGGTCAATCTGGGGTCTGTTTGAAGACAATATTGGGTTTAAACTGGACAAATTTCGATTAGTGTAGGCGAAAGTCGATATAGAAAAATTTATGAGAAATAGGAAGTGAACTTATAGAAGAGACCGCGCAGTGCGTTGAGAATCGCTGAATAATGAGAGGAAAGAGTTTTTTTTTGACTTGACAGTGAGGATAAAAAATTACGAGAGCAGTTCAAGTGTTTTGGCGCGTAATTTTTTGATGGTGGAAGCAGTTGATCGATTGGTAGATCAGTGTGATTTTCGATAATATCAATTTGATTCTGTATGATCACTGAGAAGAGCTGAATGGATCTGTATAACAGCAAGCGATTCGAAGGATTTTGAACACCTTCAATTCAAGATTCATGATAAGAGGCATTTCTGTTGAAAGGAAGAGCAGCAATAAGACGTATGCATTTGAAAGCAGAGAGTGAAGATGATATCTGTAGGAAATTTGACTGATCGCATGAGATGATTTTGAGGTATACGGATGAGGGAATGATCAGATATGGCAACAGAATATCGTTGATAGTGAATTTTATAAATGTGACTGCAATAAATCATGTAAATAATTCTTAGAAATATGGAGAAAAGGGGCAAAATTGTATGGTTAAGCCAGAGTAAACTCAGAAATGCGGTGATATGAAATTAATGGATCATAAATGAATATTCTGATAACGTTACAGTGCTCTAAATGGTACATAATATATCGCAGACGCACACTATCATCCTTTAATTGTTAATATTGCTATTGCATTCAATCATTTCAGAACGTATGATAGAGGATATTTTAAAGAGTAACGACGGTACGTCAGGGGATCTGTTTAATGAACCGAAAAGTGAGGATATTCGTATGATTGAAGCGATTGTGTATGGAGAGGATTATAGTGTTAGGACGGGAAACGAAGAATCAGAAGGTGCAAAGAGTACGGAATCGCAGAGTGCAGAGTTCTTCGATTTGGAGAACGCGGATATCTTTGAACTGATCGATTTTGTTGGGCAAGGGACACAGATGGTAAATAGTGCTGAGGAGAATAAAGAAAGTGATGATAAAAAAATGGAAGATGATCAGAATAAAAATGACGGTGATGGGAATGACAAAGCTGCTACGAGTGAACTTCATGCAAAAGGAGATGTTGATGTATGTTCATTTTGAAGTGAATT